TCTCGTTAAACACCGGAGAAGTGGTTCTCTTCTTGACGTGTGTTCTCTTCTTAATAATCTTTTGGTTGTTATGAACCAAATATATCTTCACGTATGGATCTATTGGCCAACAAAATTAATTATTGATTTGAATTTGTTTGAAAAGGAATTCATTTCTAACCACAAAGTCCTGTTAAATCCATTTTTGGCAAATTCCGAGCTTTTAGTACAACAACAGTTAGCCGATTGGCCGCCGGTTGATAGCAGAGGGAGACCAGGATCTCTCCCCTTCCCTGTAGTCTCATCTGAATTAAATGAATAAATTTAATATCAAAAATCTAATCCTTTTTTATAAAAGTGAATAATTGATTACTTTGTGACTTCGGGGAGAAATGTCTTTTGTGATAAGAATCTGTTTTTCCAATGAATCAAATTCTAACAGATTTAACTGACAAAACACTTCTCCGATCACATCATCTCTTGAGTATCGATCAAAGCTCAAGACAACAAAATGAAGAATTGTTGTCTGCAAATGGTTTGGATTGATTCCATAGAATGTAAAGTCTTCGTCATAAACGGGATTTTGGGTTTTACGCAATACTCGAGTCTTAACCTTAAATTCAAATATTTTGTTTAATATATTATATTTAATATATTGTAGTCAATTTGATTTTTACTTTATGTTGTTTTTCTGGTAATAATTGAAGCTTAATATAAGGATCAGAACTTCCAAAGTTGGGATCTTTTGGGGGCAAATCCGAGCACTTGATTATTGTCACACAAAGAGCTCGCTTTTGATAATTATATTTCAATTTGAAGTGAAGTTTTCCTAAATATAATTCATTCATTGATTTCAACTCATTTTCCTTATCCTCGCACTCGAACTGTTGGAATAATACAACAAATATTAAAAACAATTAACAATCGATAAATTCTATTAGATTTTTTTTAAAGTAATGCTTATATATTCTTAAAAATTTTTTAATTTTATTTACTTTATCTAAATGTTGGTAAACTTGATCTCCAATCAAATGCGGTTCCATATGAAGTGATACTTCATTCCCGCCATCACTTGTTGGACTCCCTCTTACGCCAGACTTTCCAATACTTCCTGTATTTCAATTTTAAAAACCAATTAAATTTAATTATAACTAAATCTTTATTTAATGCAAAATTTAAAAGATTTGTTATATTTTCTATTTAAATCGCATTCAAAATAATAAATGACTTAATTATAAAGTTGATAAATATTTAATAAAAGAATATTAAACAAGTATTAAACAAATATACAAAACAAGTACAAACCCGGCGGCGATTTATTTCCTGTAGGACTCGGACTCTTCTTGAGAACAGTCGCAGAACCGGGACTTTTGACAGCAGAAGACTTCTTGAATGATAGCGACTGATCGACAGGAATATTACGCTTAATAAGAAGTGTTTTGTGTCCAAATTGATCGCTATTTCTGCGTTTATAGAGATAGCAAGTGGTGGCGGCGATCACTATAATGAAGAATGCACTTCCAGTACAGACAGCCACTACTGTCGCCGCCGCTGACGCTATTGTCATAGTATTTATAAAGAAATGTTTAAAGTTAATAATATATTTTAACAATATTCTATACTATTCTATATTGTGCTTGT